AGGGGAAGTGGGAGAGGGAGAAGCAGGCTTCCCGCCGAGCAGGGAGTCCGATATGGGGCTCGATCCCAGGACCCTGGGATCATGACCCAAGCCAAAGGCAGACGCTCAACGACTGAGCCACCCAGGCGCCCCTGACATGATCTTCATGAATAAACTGAGGGACAAGAATGGAGAACAGTTAGAGTCCCTGTCATGATCCAAGCAAAAGATAAGGGCAGCTTTGGAGTAGGATGCTGGCAGTAGAAGTAGACGGATTTTAAATAAATTTGGAAGTGAAACAGGGTTTGCTGAGAAATAGGATTTGGAGGAGGAAAGAAAGGGAATAATCAAGAATGATTCTTAGGATTTTGGCATGAGCAAATGAGTGGATGGGTAGTGCTATTTACTAAATCTTGAAAGAAGAGAGGATGGATATTTTGGCCTACAGGGTGGGGTCAGAAGATGGTGCTCAGTTTTAGAAATACTATATTTTGAGGTGCCTGGTTGGCTCGGTGGGTTAAGTGTCCAACTCTTGATTTCGGGTTGGGTCATGATCTCAGGGTCATGAGATTGAACCCTGCATCGGGCTCCGCCCTCAGTGAGGAGTCTGCTTCTCTCCCTCTCCTTCTCCCTCTGCCCCTCCCCTGCAAAAATAAGTGAATAAATAAAAATAAATAAATAAATAAATAAATAAATCTTTTTTTAAGAAAAGAAATATTGTATTTCACCAAGTTAGTAGTTAGATATATACATTACATATATTTGCATATGTATGTGTATAAATATCTATATGTGTATACATATGCATGTATATATATATATGAAATATTATTTGTCTTAAAATTAGGATGATGTATGGTTCATTTTACTTTTTATTGACTTAACAGTAAAAACATGAATTTTAATGATTGTGTAATATTCTGCTGTATATTAATCTCAAGTATTAGCCAGTCCCTTATTCCTCTATTATTGTATGGTTAAGCCAGTTTTTATTCTTTTCACTTTTATGAATGATGTCCTAGTAAATATTCTTTTTAAAATTTATCTTAATACCAGTATAGTTAACATACACTGTTATGTTTCAGGTGCACAATATAGTGATTCAGCACTTCCATACATCATCCAGTGCTCATCACAAGCACCCTCCTTAATTCCTATCACCTATTTCACCCATCCCCCCACTACCTCTGGTGAGCATCAGTTTGTTCTCTGTGGTCAAGAGTCTGTTTCTTGGTTGTTGTTTTTTCCTTTGCTCATTTGTTTTGTTTCTTAAATTCCACATATGAGTGAAAGCATATGGTATTTGCTTTATGATTCTCAGTATTTAGAGTAAATCACTAGAATTGGAGTTGCTGGGTCAGATGGGTATGAACATTCTTATGATTTTTTAAATTCAAATGTATTAAATCATCTTCTAGTTAGGTGCTACCAATTTACATTCCCTCCAATAGTATATGAGAAGTTGACTTCACTTACACAACAGTATTTTTGCTAGTAAAAGCATCTTTGCCATTTTATTTTTTTTTTTAAAGATTTATTTATTCATTTGAGAGAGCGAGAATGAGAGAGAGTACAATGAGAGGGGGGGAGGGTCAGAGGGAGAAGCAGGCTCCTCGCCGAGCAGGGAGCCCGATGCGGGACTCGATCCCGGGACTCCAGGATCACGACCTGAGCCGAAGGCAGCCGCCCAACCAACTGAGCCACCCAGGCGCCCCATCTTTGCCATTTTAAAGGTGGAAAAAAAAATCATTTTTCTATTAATTTATCACAGCCTGTGTATCTTGAAGGTATGCTCCAACGTTTCATTTTGTTTTCTTTTGTTCTTTCCTGCCTGGCCTGACCCCTCTCACTATATTCCAACTGCATGTGACTGGAGTCAGGGTCTGTTGTTAGTAAGCACCAGGAGGAGATAGGATGTTGCCAGTAAGCCAGTCATCCTTTATGAAAATATGGGAAAATATAGATTTCCCAAAATTATTTATAAAATCAGGAAGTCTTGATGTGCCCTCATCCTCAAATTAGTTTCCTTCCAAACACATACAGTGTAAAATATTTTTTTTAAAAGATTTATTTATTCATTTGAGAGAGCGAGAATGAGAGAGAGTACATGAGAGGGGGGAGGGTCAGAGGGAGAAGCAGGCTCCCTGCCGAGCAGGGAGCCCGATGTGGGACTCGATCCCGGGACTCCAGGATCATGACCTGAGCCGAAGGCAGTCGCTTAACCAACTGAGCCACCCAGGCGCCCGAGTGTAAAATATTTTTATGTAGTCTGCAATATATAAAAGGAAGAACAACAAAAAAATGACTTCTCATGTTTTTCATCTTGTTTTTCTACATTTTAAAAATACTATATGGTAGATAATACTATCATCCTTCTGAGCTAAAACTATCAATTAAAATCTCTACAATATATCTCAAGAAGTGGCAACTAAAAATGTATCCAGTGTATTAGGTTGTATACTATTTAATAATGGTTGCCTGTGGGTGATGGGCTTATGATGGGTGGTTGTTATTTTATTTTCATTACTTTTTTGCATTGCATAGATGTTTAATATTGAATATTAGTAGTCCTCTCTAACAATAAAGACTTTAATAGAACTTTAAATTTTAATGAAAAAACACTTTAAGATGTCTTAGAAAACAATTCCTTGAATTGCTTTAAAAATCAGGAATAAACAGAAGCAACCTAAACATTTGTAAGGATTAAATGGAAAAACTTGAAAAACCAGGCTATGCAGTGTACTAATTGTATGCCGTTAACACTTGACCTCAAGCCAACAATCGCACTTTTGTAAAAACCCAAACCATCTTTTATTTTTTTTCAAACCACTTTTTAAGTATATTTTCAAACACCTATTGAAAAATCGATCGGGGAAAAACAATTTCAAAAGGACTGTGACTTCCTATTGCTGAAGGGATAAGCCAAGATGTTGTGTGTAGTCAGAAAGCTTGGCTTTCAGAGGGAAAGAAAACCTGTCACAACTCAGCATCAAGCACAAATGTTAGTTATTAAAGGGCATTTGCAAACCACATTAGAAGTTCTACAGGCGTCTCTTCATTAATGATAGTATCTATTGTTTGAATTTTTTCTACATGCTGGGTAGTCTGCTCTGTGCTGTACATGCGCTCTCTTTGTGAAGACTTTAAAGGATTTTTTTTTTTTTTTAGTTATCCAATTTTATGAATGAGGAAGTAGGCCAGAGAAAGAGCTTGGCTAAGATCACCCTTTGGTCAACAATAGGGTAGGGTTTAATCTCAGGATTGTTTTATCCTAACGCTTGCTCTTAGCCATTACTTGCAATAGCTATCTGCCATCTAATCTAAACTGCTTTTCTTCCAGCTATAAATAATTGACTCTCCACTGCTTTCAAGAATAGCTGTCACTGAGTCAGACTACATGCAACTTGCTTCTCTGTCATTTTGCTTCTAATCATCGCTCTTCGCTACAGCACTTGCTGAGTGCACAATCTCGCTCACTGGCCCACTTTGCTTCAAGCTGGAAACCCCATGTTCTTCCTTTGACCCCCAAAGCACAACTAAACATTAGAGTGACACTTTATTGGGTATTGGAGGTTGGAAGAGAAGAAATGGTGAAGGTGATTTCTGCAAAAAGCTGGAAACAGTATTCAGTATACGTAGATTTGGTATCAGTCACCGCTGTTCCTAAGAACTTACCCACAATTCCTCAACACAGGGGATTTCTTTCTCAGACTCAGGCCTCTTGACACATTGCTGGAACCTTTGCTTTTCTTCTGCAGCCTCTTCTAATAACCTCCATCTGGCTTCCAACTCTCCAACATGTCCGGGAACTGGGAAGGTTGCACAGCTGTTGAGCTCTCCATGCCCACCCCTCTCCCCCCGCCACCCATTCCAGACCAGGCTCTGGCCCTAGGTCTGTACTGAGTAACTCACTAAGATATTCTGTGAAGGATAGTGCCATCCGCTCAGGAGCTCCACTTTCACCTTTACAAAGGATTGGCTGCAGATTTGAAATGACATCTTTTTCTCTAGCCTCTCCTGAATCAAACGCTTCCACTCCAACAACCTCAGCAAACTTTATATATTAGTCAGAGAAACAGAATCATAGGAAATATATATAAAAATAGATATAAAAATATAAATATATATAATAAAATATAAAATATATATAAAATATCTCCAAAGAAACAGAACCATAGAAAATATATATAAAATATTATATATTATTTATACACATTATATATGTTTTATATATATGTACATAAAAGTAATACATAAAAAATATATAATTTATCTATCTGTAGATATTTATTTTTAAAAATTGGTTCATGTAATGTGGGAGCTGGCACCCCAGAAATCCACAGGGCAAGCTGGCAGCCTGGAAATTCAGGTGAGAATTGATGTTGCCATCTTTAGTCTTAAATCTGCAGGGCAGGCCAGGCAAGCTGGAAAAGTTTCTGTGTCCCGGTCTTGAGCCCTAATTTCTTCTTCTTCAGAAAATTTCAGTCTTGGGGTGCCTGGTTGGCTCATTCAGTCGGTTAAGCATCTGCCTTCGGCTCAGGTCATGATCTTGGGGTCCTAGGGTCGAGCCCCACATCAAGCCCCACATTGACAGGGAGTCTGCTTCTCCCCCTCCTGATGCCCCTCCTCACCATTCATGCTCTCTCTTGCTCTCTCTCTCTCAAATAAATAAATAAAATCTTAAAAAAAAACAAAGAAAATCCCAGTCTTGTCTGTTAAGACCTTCAACTGATTGGCTAAGACCTATCCACATTAATGGAGGGTAATTCGATTTACTCAACATCCACAGATTTAAATGTTTATATCATATAAAAATTACCTTCACAGCAACATCCCAATTGGTATTTGACTAAACAACTGGGAATATCACCTAGCCAAGTTGACACATAAAATTAACCATCACATTCTAGATATTTGAATTCCTGTTATGTGCCAGACCCAAACATGGTCTTACCGTCAGTGTGCTTAAAGATTAGTTGGAAATTTTTGCCTGTAGTTCTTTGAAATGGCCCATACTATCAGAAAGATCCACTTACCCATTATGCCCTCAACCGCTGTATGCAGTACCATCAGATTTGCAGAATTGGGGTGAGGGCTAAGACTTCCAATGGCAGCTTTGGCTTTATTGTGTTAAGAGTAAGGAAACACCGTCACCCTAGGGATATTCTGGACATGATTCCAGTTATTCCAGGCAAACAACAACATTTATGACTGTGGAGGAGCCTTGTTAGCTACTGAGAAGAAACTGTCTTCAGGTGTAATGGTGATGGTTGTGTGGCATGATGGAGATGGACAGTCCTAAGCTGAAAATCCCAGAGTTGGGCAAAGCTCTACAATGTTGAACAAAAGCTTCCTTTTTTCCTTTCATTGCCTATAAAATAAGAGTGATGTTTTTCAGAGCTTTAGTAAGGTCAAATGAAAAAAATATATAAATTTTCCAGCAGCATGTTTCATACTGTTTAAATGGTAGTTTTCTTTTGAGTCAAGGCTGAGTCACAAGAAATTAAAACTGACCCAATCATAGTCAGAAGAAGATAGAGATGATAATGATTGGGCAAGCGGCAACACCCAGAGTCCAGGCTTCATGGAGATGGACTTGGTCCCAGAAAGTCAAGAGTCAAGGTTGTCTCTCTCTCCCTGCTTCCCCAAGGTCTTTCATTTTCACTCTTCCCTGTAAGTCTTTTCCATTCTCGACTATAGACTAGTTTCTTTCCTTACCCATTAGTTTGCTCATGGCTTTTGTTGTTATGACTTCAATTAGGCTCTAACTCTATAGTCTTTGATCTTCAGAATTCATCTCTTCGTTGTGATTGCCCAGACTGTCTTCCCGTGGAAGAGTAGCTCTTGAGTCAAGTGTCAGGTGAGACCGCATCCTACAGTCTGCTCAAGGAAAGGCTCATGAAGATCCGTATGCCAGCATAGGCCACTCTGTGGGGATGGAAAATATGTAGACTTGGATGACATCCCCAGACATGCCCACCACTTGTAGCTGCAGTGAAATCATATCACCTTGAACTTACTCAGACTCAAACCCCATATAAAGTATAGGATGTGCCTCCATTACTGTCACCTAAACCTCGCAATAAGTAAGTCTACTAAAATAATAGGGCTTAATCTGAATAATAGAACTAAAAAGTAGAGTATACCAACAAGCAAACAGAAACACTGTGTAATTCCCCATCCATATCCCATTCCCCACTAAGGTTTCATAACTATCTTAAAGGCAATGTGGTTTGAGTGTCCAAATATCTGAATATAGACTTTCCTTTTGTTTTTCTTTAAAACATACTTTAATGTTCTTAAGCACTTCTGTACATGTTGTGTATACACAAAACCATGCATACCATGTATATGGATGATTTAATAATTTTTTCAATCAAATTTGGCAATATATGTTTCTTAGTGCTTCCTTGTTGACTTAAAAATTGTCCTTATGGGGGCACCTGGGTGGCTCAGTCGGTTCAGCATCCGACTCTTGGTTTCCACTCAGGTCCTAATCTCAGGATCATGAGGTCGAGTCACATGTCTGGCTCCGCACACAGCTGGCAGGGGGGAGGGTGGGATGTGTTTGAAGATTCTCTCCCTTTGCCTACCCCCCCAACTCACGCACCTTCCCCCCAACCAGAAGGAATAAATGAATCTTTAAAAAAAAATCGCCCTTATGTAAGCTGGCACTCCATGTGGTGACATTATCGTTGGTCATTCCAAATGGAATACAATTATTCTGAGTTATAGATGGTGCTGATTGATATTTGATCTGATTAGTTTGGTTAATTATATTGCTAAAACAGGATCTTACTAAATTTAATTTAAAAGACTTATCTAAGGTTTATGCAACTAATTCGTTTTAGAGCCAAAATATTTGACTCCTGTACGTGTGCCTCCCTTCCCGAATTTATCATCTTCCTGTAAGATTTGCTATGTTCCACAGTCATGGACTACCGAGTTATATGAAAAATGTAGGCTGTTAGTAGCCAAGAACTGCAAAACAGGAAAACATGGCTATCTCAGGAAAAGGCATTGCTAGTAATGGACAGAGAGTGCAAAACTTATTCCGTGTTCATGGGAATATATGTTCATATGTACCATCTTTTAACAGGGGACACAAAATATGTAATTAGTTGGATAAATCTGCACATTCATATGAACTTTAAAAATGCTTAGATGCCATCTTTTCATTTTCTGTCATATACAGTATTGTTGATAACCACCAAATTAGATATGGTATTAGTTTTTAACTTTCTGTGAAATTCTATGAGTATTGTTCTTTTTTTTTTTTAAAGATTTTATTTATTTATTTGACAGAGAGCGAGCACAAGCAGGGGGAGCTGCAGGGGGAGAGGGAGAAGCAGGCTCCCCGCTGAGCAGGGAACCTGAGGTGGGGCTAGATCCCAAGATCCTGGGATCATGACCTGAGTGGAAGGCAGACGCTTAACAACGTCTGAGCCACCCAGGCGCCCCTATGAGTATCGTTCTTATTAAGACTTGCAGCATTAGAAATCACTGCTTTTGAACTCATCCGTGAATTTTCTGTGGACAGATGCAGAAATTTAAGCAGTAACAAAACTCAGTTGCTTTACTAAAGTGCTGGATTGCATGATTTTAAACCAGGGACAAAGAGAAAAGAGGAAGAGTTTTATTGAATAAAACTGTCTATTGCCTTTCCAGCACACAGCTGATGGAGAAATGCTTGTACAGCTATTCTTAATAACATGGAAGGCATGCCTAGTATTTGATAATGGTTATATAAGTTTTTCTTGTTCTCAGAATGGTTCTCAAAAAGTTTATATAATATGCCTGAAGACTATACCAGGATGGAAGCATTTCAGAAACGATTGAAGCTGCTTTTGTATGTGCACAAGCATGTGAGCGTGTTCATGTGGCCTGTGTACACGTGTATGTATATGATTCATACATCTCTTTGCATGAAATATTTTGAGGTACCACAGGCTGTCATTCTGGATAAAAAGCCACATCAGATTACAATCAGTTAATAGGTCAGACGCTACATAATGCTCTCTTCAGCTCAGATTTCTTGGAAGAGTTTACTGTACAATTCCTAAAGAAATGGTCTCTGTAATGTTTTACATTTGAAAACTAAAATTTAAAAAATTATCAAAATTAAAACTACAGGAATTAAAACACAAAGGTATGGCTACCTTTCAGCATTACTGATCTGGTTTCTGTCTGAGGTCTCTTTTATAGGTCAGATGTTCTTCCTTCTCCAACAAGACTCCGCTGAGGCTTACCTAATAGCTTGCGGTAATTGAACCAACCACCTTAGTTTGAAACGACATAAACACTAAGCTTCGATGAATGGAAATTAGTTATTTGTGATAAGGCCCTTTTTATTTCCTGGTTGAAAGCAACCACTACAAATTAACTAGTCATCCTAACAAGAAAATACTCATATTGTTTTTATTAGGTGTGATTATAATCCATTCTTGTCCCATTATACCATGATATAAGTATCTTTGAATGAGTAGAACTATATTGAGGAACTTTCTGGAAGAATGGAAGATGATAACTTGAGGCCCCTCTTGAGATCTTTTGGAAGAATTTGGTGGGTGAGAAAATAGTGGTTAAGAGCGTGGGCTTTGGTATCACACCAGAGTAGGACCTCTCTAAGCTTCTCAAGGACTTCTTTTTAATTTTCTCTAAAATGGGATTAATAATAGGTCCTGCCTCAGATGCGCCATGTGAAGTATTTAGCAGATGTATTTGTTTCCCTGTTGCAGTTGTATCAAATTACCAACAAGTGAGTGGCTTAAAACAACACAAATTTATTATCTTATAGTTCTGGTGGTCTGAAGTTCAAAATGCATCTCACAAGGCTAAAGTCAGTATGTGGGTAGGGCTGCTTTTCTTTCTGGAGACTCTAGGGAAGGATCCATTTTCTTGCCTTTTCCATCTTCCAGTAGCCAGCAGTGGCCAGTCAAGTCTTTCCCATCACTCAGCCACCAACTCTCCAGTCTCCCTTCTCTACTTAATGAGAACCCCTGTGATCACACCGGTCCCATCAGGATAATTACCTATCTCGAGGCCAATTAATTAGCAACCTTAATTCCTCTTTGCCATGTAAGTAGGGTCACATGTTCCCAGGTTCCAGGGATTAGGACAGGGACACTTTTGTTCTTCCTACCACAGCAGAGTACCTGCCACAAAGTAAACACACAGAGGATGTTAGTTTTTGCTGTTCTTAATCCCCCCAAAAGGAAGCAACCCTCTCTGAATGGTTTTTGTTGTTAAAGAGGATGCCATCTGACCAATATCCCAGAAACCAGATAAGCACAAAGCCTTCCCACACTGCATTTCAGTACCTTTTACAAACATCGTCCTGGCACTCTGCCTTTAAAGCTGTGAAAGAACAGGGTTGTTACGTCTGACCTCAGTACACATGGTCTACGGCTTTCCTGTTCTCTTGCTACACTTCTTTCTTGAGGATACTTTCTGTGAGGGTATCAACTCACCTATATGTAGCTGACTCCCCCCAAGTAGAACTTTCTGTCAAGCTTAAAGCACCAAGTAGAACTTTCTGTCAAGCCTAAAGCACCGCATGTCCAGCTTGAGCTGGGAAACTCCTCCTTAATCTTCTGGGTCCCAGAAAATATCTCCAGAATTCAAGTGACTATTTTTGACTCAAAATATCCTTAATCCCTGCTGGTTGCCAGAGTGGCCCTACTCTTCCTGACATGCACACGTGAACATGGACTCCTTCCCACCCTCACAAGTGCCCTCCCAAGTTCAAGCTTCTTGTGCCCTTGTCAGGACTATAGTCAGAGCCTCCTAACTGTCTCGTGCTTTCCTTCCTTCACTGATTTGTGCCTCCATCCCCAGGAAGCTTCAGGTCCTTCCTTTGGCCTCCATCTTTGTCAGCCCACTGAAGGGCTTAGGGAATTCTTTTTAAGCACCTACCATTTGCAGACATTGTACTTAGACATTGTACATGCACGATCTCATTTAATCCTAATGTAATGCCCTGGCAGGAAGGTGTATTTTCTCCTTTTTCATTAGTGAGGCCGTGGGAGGCTAAAGAGCTTTATATAACTCAGCCAAAGCTACACAGTCAGTGACAGAGAGAATTCAAACTCAGATGTATCTGATTTCAGAGACCCTAGCTCTACCACTATACCCTGGAGCCCTGCCATTTGACTTTGTTTTTAAGGCTTCAGTTCTATGAAGGCTCGCTGGAGTTTATGTATTTTAGTGGCAGATCTTCCAGTAGCCTAATGACAAACATATCGTAGTTTGGTCATCTTGGTAGTGGTTTCTGAGGACAACTTGAGGACTGCTATATGTATTATTTTTTTTTTAAATCAGAGTTCTAGGACTTGTCAAACCTCTGCCTTTGACATGGCTCGCAGATTAATCCAGGTGCAGTTCTTATATCTGCATAAAAAGAGGGGTGGTGTGGGAAGGAAGGCATTTGTCCATGTGTGGGTGGCTTTTAGCCATGTTAAATTAGGGCATTTGTGGAGTTAAATAATCCTGATAAGTCTGTTCCCTTTCCATTAGAGATCAACTCTCAGTGACAAGCCAAAGCATGCTTTTCTTCTTTTACCAAAACACCCACAAAGGAAACAGAAACCAGTTTAGCAACTTTGTAAGTGGGTGCAAAGGATTCCTATAAATAAAACCTCCCATTGTGCCACTCTAGTCATGCTAGGTTTGGAATGCTGATGGTTTATGTTGTCCTACTCTGAACTCCTACTGACAACCTAGTGAATTAGCTCTAGCTAATTTTGATACTTCTTAGAGGTGACCTTAATTATAAACAATACTCTATGAATAGACTTTGTCCCCCCTCCACCACTGCTCTTCATCCTTTCCTAATTGGTTACTTTCCTGAAGAGAGAAAAAAATAATATATCTCAAACTAGGTGATCTTAGTAATAGGAAGAGTGTTGTCTGGCACATTAAGAAGCTTTGTTGTTTATTTATAAAAAGTATAAAAGCAAATACTATACAGAGGAGGTCAATTTTGGCAGCACTTTTTTATTCACATGGTGGCTTTTTCCCTTTATTGATGATGGAACCGTAGAATTTGAAAAGCTGTAAGAAATGGGGCGCCTGTCTGCCTTCAGCTCAGGTCATGATCCTGGGGTCCTGGGATTGAGCCCCATGTCAGGCTCCCTGCTCAGTGGGGAGTCTGCTTCTCTCTCTCCCTCTCACATACACACACACTCTCTCTCTCTCAAATAAATAAAATCTTAAAAAAAAAAAAAGCTGTAAGAAATGGACTTTAGTAATATAAGGAAATATCCTTACAAACCTTATTACTTCTTTTGTAGGTAGGAAAATGCAAACAAAATCAACTACTGAATGTGGTTCTTAGATTTTTGTGTAGTTGTGAAAGCTAAACGTAGCAGAAGAAATTGACCTTTACTTCAGAATTAAAAATGCTGTCTGGAGTCATTACTGGGTCAGTAGTCAAAATGGAATACAGACAACAGATCATATAAAAGTATTATGTCAATGTGAAATTGAAGTTAAAAACAGCTCTGTGGTTATGTAAAAACATCTGTATTCATAGGAAGTATACATAAGTATTTAGGGACAAAGGGCCATGATGCATGTAACTTATGCTCAGATGGTTCAGCAAATATGCACATTGTGTGTGTGTGTGTGTGTGTGTACATACATAAATATCACAGAGAGAAAGAAAACACAAATGTAAAAGAAAAGGAATAAAATATTAACAGTAGTTGAATCTAGATAAAGAATAGTGAGAAAACATTTGTCCTAAGCAATATTAATTCACATCTTTGAGCAAATGATGCTTGAATCTAAATTTCTAGCCAAAAAGATTATAATTAACAATAGACCTATAAATTCAGCTATTTACTAAACATATCCATTAGGATATTCCACAGGTATTTCAAAATCAACCTTTCCACAATTGGTTTTATTAGGTCCCTTTTAACCTGAGTTCCTTCATTGTTCTCTGTTACCAAACTAGATTCTTTCCTCTACCTCCCCTACCACATCTCCCCCACCAACACAGCTACACTCTCTCAAGGAATCCTGTTCTATTCTATACTATTCTACCTGTAGTCTCTTCAACGGATCTACTCTTTCAGCCCTCACTGCATTTATTCAGCTTCAATATCACAATGGATTATAATCACCTCCCAGGTGGTCTTTTGCATTCAGAATGTGTCCCCCTCCAATCCATCTCCTGTATTGCGGATAATTTCATCTCTTAATGCTCTGCTTAAAAGTCTACATGTCTCTCTAGGAGTGCCTGGGTAGCTCAGTTGGTTAAGCCACTGCCTTCGGCTCAGGTCATGATCCTGGAGTCCCAGGATCGAGTCCCACATCGAGTCCTGCATCCGGCTCCCTGCTCAGTGGGGAGTCTGCTTCTCCCTCTGACCCTCCTCCCTCTCATGCTCTCTCTCTGTCATGCTCTCTCTCTCAAATAAATAAATAAAATCTTAAAAAAATAAAATAAAAAGTCTCCGTGTCTCCCTATTGCCCTCAGATTGAAATCCACATCCTCAGTATAATTTACAAGGCACATGAAGGCGCGGGTTCTTGTTTATTTCTCTCATCTTATATCTCTTATCTCTCTTTGCCCAAATTTTTCTTGCCCTCTCCCTTACCATGCTACAGTCACACTTCACTTTCAGCTGAAGGTTTCTCTAGCCGCCAGGCCTTTGCCCATGTTAGTCTCTCTGCCCTGAACAGTTAGTTTCGTTTTCCCCTGCTTACAACAACTTGTTGAACACATAATCCTATTTGTCTGATTTATTCTTCCTTTAAATCTCAACTTAAATGACATGCCCCTAGAGAACATTCATGACACTCCAAGTCTGATCAAATCAAAATTAAAATCAAAATAACAAAAAAATTGGATTATTATGAATACATTTTTGAAACTAGCATAAAGTGTGTACATATTCATTCAGTCAAGGTTTTCCACAGATACTCACTGAACACCTGTTATATGCCTAGCAACTTCTGGTTGGGTCATTGGACAGATATTTATTGACCTCCTACAATGTTACAGAGGGCATTTTGGATGTGAAGACTTGAACATTCTTAGAGCTTAAATTCTAGTGGGGGTGACTATTCAGAAACATAGAAATGTATAATGTCAGTTAGTGATAAATGTCATGAAAGGAAACCATACATGAGGTGCTTCCTTGGGTACTGGAGTCTCTAGTGAAGAAGTGTATGAACAGGGACCTAAATATAATGATGAAGCAAAGTCAGGCCAATGTCTGGGAAGGACATTCTAAGAAAAGGGGAGCCTCAAGTGCAAAGGCCTTAGGCCAGGAGAATGGTTGGGCTGTTCAAGGAACAGCCAAGAGGCGTGTGTGTGTTACACTCAGTGAGCAAGAAGATAAGGATGGAAGGGAGTTGTTAGGGCCAGATCCTGTGATGGTGAACAGTGAATCCACTCTGTCAGGTCTAATTTAGTCTGAGTATCAATTTTAATTGTCCTCATGATTTTGTACTTAGACTGAGAACACAAACTGGACTGCATGCATTAGTGGGGAAAAGGGATATTGAGGACCAAGGACAACATGAGGGAGTCTCTCAAGTGCAAAGATGTTGCCCTGAGAATTACTGAGCCAGAACTGTTAGACCCTGGAGAACTGGACGGGTATCAGAAAGGTGAGAGCAGGTGGAGAAAAGTCTTTGTCCTGTGTAAACTAGCATCGCTGGTCAGACAGCCTGACACCCCAGTCTCTTCTCTTTGCCCCTTTCCATCCCCACTCTTTCCTGATTGTTCCAAAATTAACTTATCTGAAGTCTAGGATCCTTTCTAGCCTTTGGATAGTGATGGAGATGTACTATAACAGTGACTTTTGTCAGGAAGTGTAATACATTGTTTTAAAAAATAAAGTAATGAATTCCAGTTTTTACATCAGTTTCTAGCCACATGGCCTAAATAGACCAAATATAGTATAATTTTAATGTACATACCTCTGTATGGTAAAAAAAAAAAATGTACAAACAAATAAACAAAAGTTCATTCTAGGGTGCCTGGGTGGCTCAGTTGATTAAGCGACTGCCTTCGGCTCAGGTCATGATCCTGGAGTCCCGGGATCGAGTCCCACATCGGGCTCCCTGCTCAGCAGAGGGTCTGCTTCTCCCTCTGCCCTCTTCCCTCTCGTCCTCTGTGTCTCTCATTCTCTTTCTCTCAAAT